GCCAAAGACTCGCCAAAACGGCTGCGGAAACCTATGAAATGCTAAAGCAAGCTTTTGGGGAGTCCGCAATGGGTCGTGCCCAAACTTTTGTGTGGCATTCACGTTTTAAAAATGGCCGAACCTCTGTCGATGATGCCGAGCGTTCTGGACGACCATCTTCGAGCACAACGCCCGAAACTGTTACGAAGATCGACGTCGTACCATCAACGACTTGTGCGACATTTTTGGGATAGGCTATGGGACCTGTCAGCTGATTCTAAAGGAAGAACTCCACATGCGACGCATCCTGTCTGAGGACCAGAAGCAGAATCGACTTCTCGTTTGTCAGGAGCTCAAAGATCTTGCAAGAACCGACCCCAACTTCCTTTCTAAGCTCCGTGTGACTTCTTCCTCTTCCCAAAGATGAAAATTGAGCTAAAGGGAAGGATATTTGAGACGATAGAAGAGATTCAGGCAGAATCGCAGATGGTGCTTGATAGGCTGACAAAGAAAGATTTCCAGGCTTGGCAGCGGCGCTGGGATCGTTGTGTTCACTCCCAGGGGAACTACTTCGAGGCTGATGGATGAATTTAATACCTGAGATAAGTGTACGGGTTTTTTTTTATTATTATTATTATTATAGGCGCAGTCTGTAAACTTTCCGATCGCACCTCGTATTGTATGAAATGACATGTTCTACATCCTTTGGGTGAGTCCTAATAAGGATCTATGGAATGTAAATAAACTCTACTCTAGTCTACGACGCACTTCTACAAGCGATTCACAGCTCAGCTGTTTCCGCAATGATGAAAGCGGATTGTTGACGGCAGTAATGTAACACAACAATGCCGAGTAAACAGATAACGTTTCCTAGGTAACATAATGCATGCAAACTGACCATTGTTGTCAGTCCATATTTACAAATTGTTTATATTTCCTAGGTAACCATCTTACACTTTTTTGCGGAATGACACTGATCCTTCCATATAGACGTATTTACGTCAAAATTGTTCATGTGTTATGATTTTTGTATGGTAGGGGTAAAGAGGAAGGTTGAAGAGTAGTTGACTTTCTTGCCGACTGCAATTCTGTAACGTCGCCGTTGTGTTTATCAATAACTCGCTCAAAGGGCGCAGTACAATACGCACAGCGCTGATTTGCCAACCGTGCAACGTGATAATCTGTGTACAGAGGTCTCTACACAGAGGAATCAATCATTACATGTGCAATGAGTTGTCTGGCTACACGAAGTATATGTTATAATCGTATTTTATCATATGTGATGATAGTATGTAGGTGATAATAATAACTTTTATTTGCGGGAATGGACTAAGTGTCTGTTGGATACTCGTCTGACAACATGAATAGCCTAGGTTTAAGTATAATTTTTAATATGGGATGCATATGTTCAAGGGAAACCATTATGATTAATTCGAGAAAGTATTATGTCCGTGAACACCTTGGAGAAGGGTAAGTGTTCAGATATTAAACATTTGCTCATTACCTTTATATGTGTATATCGAAATCTGCTGCTGTGTGTGTAATGCATAGTTTGCAAAGAAAGTAAGTGTTTGACATTAGGCGCCCGCATATTCCTGTCACTGCATTAGAGATTTATTTATAGTAACCGCTCCGAACGAACGTTACTGTGGTCTGCCCAACCCTTGCCTATCATAACATGAGTTTTTTATAAGGCATACAAACATTGCGGTGCATCCTTATGGACAAATAGTAATGAATGTCCTAGTATGTGTTATGTTGTAGTAAAGAACAGGTGTTTTCTTTTTTATTCTTATCTCCCCAGTGGCTTTAGTACAGTGGATCTGGTGGAAGATGCTCATAATCATAAGTCTTATGCTGTTAAAAAGATTATCTGCCATGGGGAAGAGGACCAGAAAGTTGCCATGAAAGAAGTTGAGTACCATGGAATTCTGAAACATCCTAATATTATTGAATGTTTTGATTCAGCATTGAAGGATCGACCAAATCCCATTCTGAATTCAACAAGTGAAGTGATGATTGTTTTACCATACTTTGAGGTACAAGTTTATATTCTTAAGTTGCTTTCTCCATGCTTTTTAATATTATTTTATAATATGTCATTGGTTGGCTTTGGTGCTGTCAGTATTGAATGTGTTGGTTCTGCTACCAGGAAGGTAGTTATTTAGTTAATATGTTATTAAGAAAGTCAGTGTCACGAATAAAGTGATTAGTTACACATGGAAATTGGTGCACAGTCTAGAGTTGATTAAACCTTTTTACAGTTATAGAATAATTCTTGAAGGTAAGATTTAATAGAACTCCTTTGGATTTGGTGTGGCATTTTATTTATGTAATTGTCTGTATTGCATAGCATACTATAGAATCAGGATCAATTTTGATGACTGCTGTTATATATAGTCTGTAGTTAAGACATCAGTATTGTTTCTAGGCATGTTTAAAATTTTTAAAAAGTGTGCCACCTGTTTAATTTGTATTTCACTCTGGTTACTGTATACGAAACTTATTACCACTTTGAAAACGTGCATCAGCTTTTTTTTAATTCACTGTAAATAGGTTAGAGAAGATGGCTTGAAAGTATGGTGTTAGTAAACCTAGTGTCTATGATATCCTTCGGACATATATTAACAGAATTTATTTTATGTTGTAATTAAAAAAAATTCATATCAGGATTTATTTTCCCAGAAGTAAATGGCTTAAGCATGAAGCTGCCACTTACATCCAATCAGTACTAATGATGATAATGTGTTCAGGTAATATTAAGAGTATGATTTTATTAATTTCCAGAGGGGTACATTAGCACATGAGCTGGAACGTCGTCGTGTTCGTAGGGATCATATGAATGCATCAGAAATTTTGAATATGTTCCTACATATCTGTGAAGGTGTGAAAGCATTTCATGAAGCTAACCCAGAGCCATTAGCCCACAGAGATCTTAAAACAGCAAATATTTTATTATCAGATGATCGATCACCAATCATCATGGATCTGGGTCTGTACAAATTTGTGTTTACTTTACATAATGTATGATGCAATTTCAGTCATTTAGGGTAATTTGCAGGTGTAAATGATAGGTTTTACTTGTTGCCTTCAAATAGTTTTGGCTATTGGCAACAGAAATGAATTTCTTTCATTGTATGATACAGCGTGATCTTGTAGACAAGAATGAAGCTGTTACTTGTATAGAGATTGCTCAACTTTTAGCTAATATGGAAATTATGCTGTTAAGTTTGGTTACCTTTGTTACTGTTTTGTCCATCTTCTACTCACTTAAAACAATCCATAATCTTATTCAAGGTCATTGGGCTATTTTTGTTGGACATTGTTGCTTGGAAGTGGTGAGGCTAACCCAAAATCCAAACTTGAGTTTTGCAAAGGACCTGTAATTCTTCTTATTAGCTGTGCTTTGTTTTTCCGTAACCAACCCAGTTACAAACTTTCTTTCGGCATAGTTTTACTATCTGCATCAGCAATCAAAATTACCCTACTCTTTTCAGAGTTACAAAGTGTTGTCACAAAACAACATCCATACCAAAACTTATTCTCTTTGCAGTTGTGTTTGTCATGGTCTTTTATTATTATTACTTTAACTTTTCAGGATTTCAATATTTACAGTTTTATATTATTTTGTGTTTGAAGAAATTGTGTTGTGTGTGTCAGTCTTGCAAAATAGTTATGTTTGTAGTTGACATTTTTTGTATTGAAATAATATTTTCAAATTTTTTAAGTAGAAAAGAAATGCAGGAAACTTTATTTCTTATACAGGTTCTGTAGCAGTGGCCCGGGTCAAGATCTGTGGCAGTTCTGAAGCTCAGCAGTTGCAGGATCTTGCAAGTGAACGATGTTCAATGCCATATCGAGCTCCAGAACTCTTCAGTGTAGAGAGTTATTGTATGATTGATGAGCGGACTGATATTTGGGTAAATTTAGGCTTTATTTATTTCAAATGAAACACTCATATAAGCAGGTACTAATCCAACCTGAGTCACAGTTGCATGTAATTAACATTATAGTTACATTGTTGACAATTTTATGTTAAGACTCCTTTATCACCATCCTTAGGTTGGAAATTAAGGAAACAGCTGGCAATGGGTGGTCCTCCAACTTAGGGGTTGGGTATAGGACTCAAACCCACTCATGATGAAAATGAATATGTTGTCAACTGTCACAAATAGCCTTCCTGTTGTTTCTTGTTCCAGTCTCTTGGCTGTATTCTGTTTGCAATGTGTTACTTCAAGTCTCCATTTGATGCTGTGTATGAGCGTGGTGACAGTGTTGCTCTGGCTGTTATCAGTGGAAATATCACATTTCCAGAGTCCTCTCCATATGATCCAGTAAGTTTCAAATACCAGCTATTCACTTTAGTTGAAACTGCCACGAGTAATTTATATTGTAAAAATGTCAGACTTTTCTATCCTTGTTTTTCTGTTTGGTAACTTTACAGTGTATCAATGAATACATTTATGTAACATCAAGTGAGATAGAATTGAATGATTGTGGATCATTAATTTGAAGGGATATGGGAGGTAGCAGGTGTTGCTGTTCTAAAGTACTGTCCTGACATTTGCCTGGTGGAACGAGGAAAACCTTAATATTCCTCAGTCAGGGTAATTGGCTCCTGGCCTGACTTGAACCAGGTACTTCTTGAATGTGAGTCATATGCTTCTATCTAAGTAAGATCACAGTAGTGTGGATTATAATTCTTGTGCCAGTAGTAGTCTTTTGAAGTTTTATTTTAACTTAATCTCAAAAGAGAATGCCTTACACTTAATAAAATATATAGAATTGTTGCTAAATAACATCTAAAGTAATGCTGGTGTACTTTCTGAGTTAGGAAATTTATTTCACTGTACTACAATAGGTATGAAAATTTTATTTTATGCAGGGAAGGAAGTTCTTTATACCAACGATTACAATTGAGCAGTTAACACTCTTTTCTGTGTTATCAGGAGATCTTGCATTTGGTTCTTGGCACAGAGACCAATGCTGACAGGTTTTCTTGGGTTTCCTCAGTCCTTTCAGGCAAGTGCTGTTATAATGTTTAAAGATAGGACATAATCACTTACATATCCTTCCCCAATAATCATTCACACTTACCCTCCCATTCAGTACTATGTAATCTGCCCAATTGGGAAAACACTATTAATAGAAACTATGAAAGATTTGTGTTTTGTGACAAGTTTACCATGGTTGGAATTTCTCTGATAACTTGTGGCTAGAGCTAAAATTTGAATTTAACTCTGTTCTGTTCTCTGTTACCCCAATTTTATTAATTATTGAAAGTATTGAGTAAACTGATTAACAGTTTATATTTTGATGTAACACTAACTCTGAACTTTTTTAAAATGCAAGGTGATTCAAAAGTCCCTATGTGCGTGTGTGTGTGCATGCACATGCACTCACATACACACATAGGTGGTACACATGACTTGTGTCATCATGTGTGGCACCTAAGAAATGTGTGTGTGCAGGGACTTATGAATCATCCTGTATCAGATCATAATCATACATCAGCAGTGATATCACTGTAGTACAAAATAAAGTGTCAGTATACGAGGTGCGATCGGAAAGTTTCCAGACTGTGTCAATAGAGGGCGAACCGGATGTAGTACGAGCTTCTGCCGCTAGGGGGTGCGGCCTACATTCATAGTGAATCAGTGTGC